AGGACAATGGGGGTTGGGGAAAGGGCAGAGGGTGGGGTGGGAACCTGGTAGAGGGGCGCAATGGAGGGGGGAAAAATGAGGAACATTTGTAATAATATGAACAATATTTTTTTTTTAAAGAAGAAGAAAAAAAAGAAAAGGCTAAGGGACCAACCATATGTCTGGCTGACTGGCCAGCCGGTACATATGATGTGCACTGGAAGTTTAAAAATAAACATTGACTCACACATGCATGATACATATAAAGTTCTCGCTGGCACCAATCATACATGTGTGTTTCAATCTATCATTGTCTATTATGAATTTGGTTGACACTTCTATTATAGAGAAAGGGCGAATAGTGATATTAAATTTTTTCTTCTAATTAATTTCCTTTCAATGTGCATGAATCGTGCACTGGGCCACTAGTCTTTAAATAATAAATGATTGACCCTAGATGGTTTGGCTCAATGGACAGAGCATCAGTCTGAGAACTGAAGGGTCCAAGGTTTGATTCCAGTCAAGGGCACATTCACAGGTTGCAGGCTTGATCTCCAGTGGGGAGCGTGCAGGAGGCAGCCAATCAGTGATTCTCTCTCATCATTGATGTTGCAGTCTCTTTTCTTTCCCTTCCTCTTTCTAAAATCAATAAAAATATTTTTAAAATAATAATAGATAACTGCAGTACCTAGGGTAGATTGTGGTAAAGGAGCTAAAAGGTAGACATTATTATTAATATTACTGTGTGCACAAGAGGGGACTTCCTCTCACAAAATGTCCCCCCATCAGGAAGACAATGGACTCCAGTTTCCAGAAAAGAACATTCGGTCCAGATCTAGCCATTGGCCCTGTGGTGTTATGGGCTATGGAGAGACTCACTCCACAAATCATGAGCCAAAAGGTTCTAAACCAAGCATGTCAAACTCATAGCAGCATGCAATCCCATCCCGGCAGTTAAGTCAAGTGCTATCTTTCATAAAGCATGCCTGGGAAGCCAGTGCTGCTGTTTTAACACTTGGTGATAAAAGATCAAGCTTTCATTTTCCTAAGGCCTCAATAAGTGCTGATAAATTATTTATCCTGGTTGGTTTGCATGATTTCATTTCCGCATGTCAGTGTTTATCATAGAAGCTCATTCTAATTGTGTAGTTCGGGGCACTTTCCTATTTTCTCCTCGGGGCACCCTTTCCCCACCTCCCCACTCACTGCTGGGCTGATTTAGTACTATTTGCGACTGGGTACTATTCTGAAAGATGAATGAATTTCATTCTGTCTTTAAATATTTATGTTTCTTTATGATCTAATATATCATCGTGGTTATGGGGAGTTTTTTTCCCCTAACTACAGAAAATACACCATCAGTTACCTGTCAATTTTGTTTAATAACTCAGCTTTGAGATTCTGGGGCACTGTTTATCCGAGGCTCCTGAGGACTCTTTTAGTCTCTCAGTCCCCGCCAGAGTGTCATTCTGGGATTTATAAAGGTCTTCATTGCACAGAGGATATTGCAACATTAAGGCTTGGGTGGCATGTCCTTTATCACTCATCACACTGGGGGACCCACGACTAGAAATCCAGGCCTCTTTCTTTTGTTGTTTGCTCCCAGCGTGGAGTAGCAGTCTCTGTAGAAAACCAGCCATTCACCTCTGGAAACAATTCATCCGATTTCTTTCAAGAGAAATACAATTTCATCTGATTTGATGGGTTCAATGATACTTCTTTAAGATAAATGATGAAAGTATCAGCATCATAATACAAAGAAACCCAATTCTTTTTGGTTTCATTGCATTGAAAAGCATTACAGCCCACTTACTGCTTCTGTCTCCTTCCTTACTGCTATTGGTCCTTGACTCAAGAAGATGGGAAGGGTTCTGCAGACCTTGCTCAGCCTCCTGGTTCAGCCTCCTGGTCAGCTTCCTGGCTGCCTTAGAACCTTTGGGAATATGAGGACCTGGGGAGGGGCCTCAGAGCCGGTATTTTTCCCATGCTCCCCAGGCGCTCTGCAGTGTGGGAACCTCCAGTGTAGAACTGCAGCTACCTAGTCCCTTCGAGCTTTGAAAGAAACCCAGGCCCTAATTCTCTCTCATTTCATTTATAGATCTAGATTTGAACATGTGTTCTTCCTGAGACACTTTTAAATGTGTGGTTGGTTCTATACTGAGTGGCCAGGTTATTATGATCTCCAAACATATAATAATCTGCCCCCTCAGTGTATATCCTATATAATAAAAGGCTAATATGCAAATTGTCACCTCGACTAAGAGTTCGACCAGCAGGTAGGCAGGCCAGCTGCCCATGTCCCCTCTCCCTGGCCAGGCTGGCCAGACCCCCACCCATGCACAAATTCATCCATCGGGACTAATATATATATATATATTATACACACACACTAAGTAGCCAGATTATTATGCATTCAGAGATCATAATAATCTGGCTGCTCAGTGTATAAATGGGCAGTCCCTGGCTCACCTGTGCATGTAAGGGAAACAGCATTAGATAAGAGGGCCTCATTTGTCCAAACGGGGAGAAAGCCAGAGGACATGTAAAGCCACCTAGTAAATATGATGCCTCTTCCTACAGCATTGGGTCTTTTTAAATTAGTTTTTTTTTTTTTAATTACATCAGATTTGTTATGGAGGGGGAATAGGTCATGTGGATTTTATGCTTAACATGAAACTTCAAACAAGTTTCTGACTTGAGCCGGTACTGGGCCTCAGACCTCTGGAGGTGAGAAAGCACACATTCCTTCTCTCAGCGGTGCCTCTGCCTGCATTCAAGGTTATCCTTGAGCATCGATTCCTGAATACGCGGGTCCGTGAGGTTACACTGAACACCCATGTGAAACCACCACAGAGAACTGACCCCAGGAGGACCCTGCACAAGGACGTTGAACGAGTTGCTGCCAGGAGCCACTCAAGCACTTGCCATCTAAGATGAGCACTTTCTATTCCTGCCCCTCTTAGGACATAGTCACAAAAGAGAATTCCCTATCCTATTTCTTTTTTAAGCAGAGTATTTTATTTAGAGCAGGAGGTTGGCAGAGCAGGAAAAGGAAATAGCCATGTGAAGACCAGTCTCATTGTATGAGCAATTCGTAAAACATTCTTAAACTTATGGAACCCCAGAGGGCCTTCCTTGTTCCAAAAGGGCTTAGCTCTCCCTAGGACACCCATTTTTCCAAGCTTCTCCTGATGAAGAAGAAACAAATCCAAGGCCCCAAGCTCAGGAGTCAAGATTTCTGAGCAGGAGTCCTGATAGACCCACAAGACCCCTTCCACCCTGAGGTGCCTTGAACCCACTGCCTTGGTCTGTCCCCGCAATCCTGGCCAAGTACCTTCCCCGACCACTCTGCTTACCATCTCATTAATCTTCCAGAAGATGGACTGGGAATGGCGCCTCTGCTCTCCACAGGGCCTTGGGAGTGGGGGAGGGGCCCTTTATCGACTCAACTCGCCTGATGTCAGACTCCCTTCTCTGCCTTTTGACTTCCTGTCTTTTCCTGCAACTCCCCGTCATTCAGCCACACTTCACAGGCTACCCTGGCTCCTCTGCCCTGCCTTTGTTCATGCTCTTCTCTTTTCCCTTGATCCAGCATTTCCTTCCTGTAAACCCTGCCTGGCAGGGCACTGCCCCATGAAGTCTTCCTGGATTCTTCACCAGCCCCTCAGCAAGGTGTGATTTCCCCTTCCTCAGGCATTAACACCTCCTCATGGCACTTGGCATGTTCTTCTTGGCTGTGGCCTTGAAGAGAGAGTATTGGACTGAGAGTCAGAAACCCAGGTTCTTATCCCGGCACAGTCACTCACTGTTTCTGTGACATGGGCAAGCCCCCTAACTCCTCTGTGCTTTCAGTTTCCTTAACTGAGGAAGGGGATAATCATAGCTCACTAGGTGCAGCGAGGGTACATGACAGTACATGGAAATGAACTTGTCACCAAAAATGCAATGATTACTTCTCTGCTCTTCATTAACTTTCCTACTTGTCTCAGCCATTTAAGGAAAGAGACCACAACTTGCTCATTATTATATACTACTAGAGCCCCGTTGTAATAGGCCTTCCTTCCCTTGGCTTCCAGCACCGGTTTTCCTCCAGCACCCAGGAACCAGGCCTTCACTCCAGCCAGAATCTGCCTCCTTTGTTTTTGCTGCAGACTTAGGCCGGAGTCTGTCATCTTCGATGCAGACTGCTATTTTTGTCTTTGCTGCAGACTACGCCTGGAGTCTGCTGTCTTATCTTTGCTGCAGCACTCCACTCCTGTAGATCCTTTCTCGCCCCCCCGCCCCACCCTTCCTCTCATAGCAGGCGTCCTGCCCCACCTGGCCACTCGCACCTGGAGCAGCTGGGTGGGCGCCATCTTTGGCCTTCTAATTTGCATACTCACTCTGATTGGCTGTGGGCGTAGCGGAGGTATGATCAGTTTACATATTTGTCTATTATTAAGTGAGATTAGCATTATTGCATTACTGTTAATACATTATTGTTATTATATTTATAATGGTTAATGTTTATGGAGCACATATAATTGTGTTGGGTGCCATTCTAGGTGTTTTATATGGATTAATTTTTCCAATAACCCTAAGAGGTAGGTACTATTATTATCCACTTTATAGAGAAGAAAACCAAGCATTGCACAGAGCCTGCAATGAGTGAAGAATTGAATGAGACAAACACTATCGGCATTGCCCACCTGATGATTGTTTTTCTCCTTCTTGGTTTTGTGTCCTGCTTTCTTTCTTTGGAGGTTCATGCACAACAGGAGGAAGTCTAGATTGGACTCTGAAAGACATGAGATCTTTTAGGGCTTCCTATTGTCATGAAGAAGCTCAGTGAGTTCCAAGCAGACAGAGATCAGGTCTGTCTCATTCTCCATCATACTCCTAAGGCCCAGAACAATGCCCAGTGATCCATCAATGTTTAGTGAATAGATAAACCAAATCAATTATAAGCAGCAGACCCATGACCACTAAAGCCACACAGATCGCTCCGGAGATGGTGAACAGTGTTCTTCTTCCTCCCTCAGGCAGTACTACGAGATGCTATACAACATGGCTGATGAGCTCCTGAACCTGGTGGTGGACCAGGGCGTGAAGTACACGGAGCTGGAGTACATCCATGCCCTGACCTTGCTGCACCGCAGCCAGACAGGCGTTGGAGACCAGACCACCCAGAACACGAGGCTGCAGCGGCTCAAGGAGATCATCTGCGAGCAGGCCGCCATCAAGCAGGCCACCAAGGATAAGAAGATAACCACGGTGTAGCAGGGGGTGGGGGTGGGACTATGTGTGGGGTCAAAGGTTGGGATTGGTCATTTCTGGTTATGTAGCCAAACTTTCTTTTTTTCTTGTTTTTTGGCATGTTATTTGGTATATTCTGAGCTGACATAGCGGAGCGATGCTTTAGTGGAGAGAAGGTGTAAGGATTTTTTCCTCTTTAGTTTTGGCTTTTCATATACACTCCAGAGGGAGTCTGCAGTACAGAATGTTTTGATTTAATGTCTACTTTGATGAGGTCAATTCCAAAGGGACTTGGGTGGGATCAGGAGGAAGGTTGTGTCAGTGGGACTCTGAGAAAATAAATGCACGAGTTACTGATGCCCAGCAGCCTTCAGGAGGCAGCTGCTACTGAGCCTCAGTCTCTTCCTAAACCTGCTCCATGGGTTCTCTTACAGGAACAGTAGGAATCTTACCCTCTTGACCTTGTCAGTTTTCAGTTCAGTGAAATAAGGGCATGTGCATTGTTTTCTATGTCGATTGCCAAGATCAAATGAGTGGCTTCTCCACTGGATAGAGTTCTCAGCAAACTTGCCTGAGCAGAACAGGAGCACCTCTGAGCTGGGGAAGAGTCCTCTGTGTTTTTTTGTTTGTTTTATTTCAGAGAGGAAGAGAGAGGGAAAGAGAGAGAAACATCAATGATGAGAATCATTGATTGGCTGTTTCCTGCACGCCCCCTACTGAGGATTGAGCCCGAAACCTGAGCATATGCCTTAACCCAGAATCTAACTGTGACCTCCTGGATCATAGGTCGATGCCCAACCACTGAGCTACGCCGGCCAGGCATGCCCTAGGTGTTGTTTTTTTATTCAGTGGCTCATCCACATCTTATGAGTTGGTCTTTACCTTTTAATGTTTATTTCTGCTGTCTCAAAACCAAGAGCCATCAAATTTAAAGACAAAAAAAAAATGGCAGAATGAAAGGTGATTCAGTAGTCTTCTTGATTTCCTCCGTGTACTTTCTGAGAAAAAACAGCTAGAACACTTTTCATCTCACCGGACACATTGGGTATGAGCGATGCTTAGGTGCTCACTTACCCTCCTATGAGCCCCTCGGTCTTTCTCACCTTAGGAAGTTGCCCGTCTGCTCAGCTGAGTGCTAGGAAGAGGAGCAGCTATGGCACCCCCCCTCCGTGTGCCAGCCAGCCAAATCCATTTCTGAAATGCTCCTGGGTGGTGTGAGTGCTCACTTCTCCTGCCACATGGCCTCACCACTGTCCCAGGGTCGCCACGTGTTCTTGGCACCCTGGGGTGATCTGTCACAGGAGAAAGCATGCACTGGCTGCAACACGCCTTGAACACACATGGGAGGGAGAGCAGCAGGGACTTGGATGCACGTGGCAACCTCACACCCCAATGGTCCAGAATTTGACCCCTGTTTGTACAACCTTGGTCTCAGTGGGAACAAAAGAAAATTAAAAGTGTTTGAGAAGCTTAAACCTGGTGTGTTGTTTTCCTTGTATTCTTTACTCAGCAAACATTTCCTGAGCCATCTATGTGCCAGTGCTGGTGGGCATGGCCTGGCTCTGGACACGAGGACACGCATCACTTTCATAGGACAGAGCATGGGAACCAGCAGAGCTCCCACAGCGCAACCCTGGAGGGGGCCAGTCACCCAGAAACCTGGGGGTCCTCCACCTGGGGCACTGCCCCTGCTGAATGACCTCAGTCCTTGGAGCCCCAGATCCTCTCCGGGACCTCCTGTCTGAATATTTCCTCAGCCTGACGCACTGATTTACGTTTCAGGTGGCCCGGGAAGAATCCTCAAGCACAGCCAAGCTGAATTGGCAACCGATCCTGATGATTCTCCCTGTCGGGTCACCCCCATGGATGCCTGCACTAATGCCACCACTCAGACAGTCAGAGGTGTGATTGCCCGCCACAGCCCGGGTGGCACGGGGTGCATGCAGTGGCCGGCACGAGACAGTTCCTGTCACACAGAGCTTATACTTCCGCCCTGACGGAGAGTTGTACAACCTCTGCTCTGATACTGTCCTTCCAGGGCCCCCTTTTCCTTCCCCATCTGCCGCAGCTGTCCTTTCACTTCGGAAGGCACCTCAGTTTGTAGGATTGAGGACTGACATCTTCAGCCCAGCCCTCTGCTGCTCCCTCCCAGCTGTGCCCTCTGGCAGCTCAGGACGGTATGTCACTGTTCACTGTCCCCTCCATGGCTACACAGCGTGACTATTTGTTGGTGGAAAAACTGGATTCCTGCCTCATGGGCTCTGAGTAGAGGCCATTGTCCTCAGGACTCTTGCTCTGAGGTGTGGCTATGGCTGCCTCCCCGGGACCAGGGGACACACATTGCCCAGTAAAACACGGAGGGTGACAGGACTAAGGCCGGCTAGACTCACTGCACCGGGGAGATCTGAGAAGACCAGCAAAACGGCTGTACTTCTGGCAGGATACGGAAGCAGGGAGCATCCTGAGCAACAAGCTTGTGCCTGAGAAGCAACGTGTTTGCGGAATACACACCTGGGAGCCACCGTCTTCATGTGGCAGGGACATGGGACAAACTGGTCACAACTGGGAGGGAGGGTGATGAGGTTCAGGAACAAGAAAACAGAGGGATGGGCTCAGCAAAGGCCCCGAGCCTGTCCCAGGGAGGCACAGCTGTTATAAGAAGTACCTAATGAATGGCCAGATGTGGAGGCAGCGGAGTGTTTTTCCGAAGTGGGAGTTGGAGTGAGGCGTAAACAGCTGGAAGGGGATGTCCTCGTGGGCAGAGGCAGGGGCTCGCCTGGAGTTCTGCAGAGGTGCAGGAAGGCGGCCACAGGCTGGGGTGTGATGAGAGAGCTAATTACCAAGAGCGCAATGAGATGCAGAAGCCACTGCAAGGGAGCTAGAAATATCTTTTAAAAAGATGCCAACCCCAGAGAAGAGCTTCTGCTAGCGGAGCTGGGTGTGAGCGTGATGAAACCTGTGTGATCTGAGAAATGGCTTTAACATCGTGGGCCAAAGACGTGATCAGAAAGGCTGCCAGGACACTCACTCACTCATCTGGAGTGGGCGTCCCTGGGACGGAGAGAGCAGTGGTCTGTAACAGATTCTCGTGTGTTCTTAAACTGTACAGTGTTTGTGCATTCTTCACACAATGGAAAAGAAGAATAAGGGGGATAAGGGCTGTCAAGTGAGCATAGTGTCCACTACACTTCTTTCCAGTAGAAACGTGGCCTCTGTTTTCCGCTGACTTTGGAGAGATACCCCAGAAGGAGGGAAGCTGGCATCGCCTCACCCCACGCTTACCCACCAGGCCAGGATTTACTGACTGTGAGAATCCAGGAATGCATTAGACCTCCAGTATTAGTGCCTGGTTTTCGCTGTTGCTTTTATGGTGGGATTATGATTGCCGTTGTGTTGTTTTTAGAAATCATTTATTGAGCATCTACTATCTGTCAGATGCAGGGCTAAGTGTTTTACCACATTATTCCGTGTGATCCGCATGGTATCCTTTGAGATCTTATCCTTCTTCTTTTCCAGAGGAAACAGGCTCAAATTAAGGCCTTCACCCCAGAGAGGTGCCAGTGCCAAGAGTTCATGCCCAGAAGCCCTCTCTTCCCTATTCTGAGCCAAATTCCCTCATCCCATGTGGTAAGGGGAGGGCACCTTACCTGCTATCTTTGAGCTTCAGGTGACATTGGCTGACAGTCTGACACCTCCATCTGCTTTTAGAATCTGATGGACCTTGGCTCCAAATGTCACCTCAGCTTTTACAAGGGGTTTGCTGTTGTACAGGTTAATAAATGCCCCGTGCCTCAGTTTCCTCATCTTAGAAATGAGATAATAGCTCCTATCCAACGGTTACGAGTAAAGTAAAAGAGAACTTCGGTGCCTGGCACATCATAAATGTTCCACACATAGTAAATAATATTTTTCTGGTTCCTCAAGCCTGCTTCCTTGTTAGCCATCAGTGAGTACGTCTCTGCCTGCCAATGTCCTGTGCATGGCTCAGTCACCTGGGAAGGCTCCATCCCCCTGCAGGGACCAGGCCATAATAGACGTGGTGACCTGCCTGGGCCTGCGTTTGCTGTCGCACTTCCCACCTGTGCTGAGAATGTCACACGGAACTCCCACTGCTCTAGAAACCCAAGGTAAGAAAAATGTCCCCCTTTTTTTCTTTTTTTTTTCTAAACCTACTCTGAGCTCCTACTTACCATTCTTAGCAACTTCAATAATTTGCTGTGGTTTCCTGGAAAGGCAGGTGGCCTGCCTGCCTTTGGGCTGTACCTGTATTGGCCGCTGAAGCAGGTCAGGAAGATGACAGTGAGCACGATGTCACCTCCGTGCTGGACACCGCTGTCCTCAGATCTAGAGGTGCTCCCTGTGTCTCCGTGCAATGCCCAGTGTCCACAGGTAACTCCTCAGCCACCCCTTCCCTAGTTCTGCACCCTGGGAGGCACCAGAGAATCTACAAGCTGCCTCTCCTCAGCTTTGGAGGATCCAGCCCTCCAGGTTAGACAGTTCTCCCTCTCTCCTCCAAAGCCATCTTCTCATTTCCTTCCTGCCACTGAGAGATCCAAGGTCCCTTCCCAAGGCCTGGACCTTTCAGAATAAGAGCCTGCTTGAGGGAGTTTCCCAAGTAACTTGCTGTCCCCTCCCAGCCCTCTGGGGATACTGGAGCCAGGCTTCCAGAGCAGCCACAGATAACCTACCACAAGGTGGCAGAGGGAGGGGAGTCTTTTCATTCCTGTGTGGGGTTCAGCGGCAACATCAATTAATTTCTCTAACTCACCTGTTGTGGATTCACAAGAGCCAGATAGAACTTGAGAACTTCAATCTCACCCATCTCACTTCGTTGAGGGGTCAAGTGAGGAGGTCCAATAGGAGTGGAGACACCTGGTTAGTGACCAAGTCAGGACCAGCACCCAAATCTCTTGACGGCCAATCCGAGGGGGACTGCTGCCTTTGGGAGCTCAGATGTGCTTCATATGGTTAGACTGTCAAGTATAGGGATAGAAGACAAGGCCCTGTCTTCAAAGACATGACCA